TTTACCTAAGAAGAATGTTTACTGCCAACAGTGTTTTAGTGAAAAAAAATTTGGTAAAGTAAATGTTGGGAATTTGCACGAAATTAAAAGAATAATTACAAATACACCTTTTACACTAAGAGCTGCCGTGACAAAAATTTTTATGTTTCAGATATGACACTTTCACGAATTGTGCTAACTCCAAACTTAAGTGTATTCAATATGCCTATGCCAAATGAGGAGGCTTTGCAATGTAAAATTTAAAATGGATTTGCTGTGCATATTGCGATAATGGAGGCCCTGGAACTAAAATACCCCAAAACATTTGGTCTTTCTGCCCCATGAGGGCAGAAGGGTCAAATGCATGAAAGTGGAGTTATGAAGTTTATAAGGTTTTCAACTTTACTATCTCATACTAAATTGAAATTCATGGACAGGTTTTTTATTTTTATTAATTATTAAAGTTATTATAATTGTATATTATATTTTTATTAATTATTATAGTTTTTAATTTTATTCAAAAATATTGTAAATTACAAAAGTTATGACTCAAAAATGTAGGACCCCCCCACTATATGAGGGTTTGTAAATTTTGCATGGACATGTTTTTACAATAAAAATTGTTTATTCTTAAATAAAACTCAATTTTAGAATAAAATTATAAGGCTCTATTACGCCAATATTTTTACTTGCTGAAACATAAATTTTCATTAAACATTCTTTTTTCGTTTATTAGTTTCTTTAGACTGTATAGATTCAAATTGATCTTGTAAAAAAATCCTAAAACTGTTTTCTAGATTTTTTTTTTATCATACGATTTTTTTTCTTTAAATTGAGTTGATATTTTATTGACATTCATTGGATAAACACAGTACTTTCTAAAGTCTGATTTTAAATTGTTAGCCTAATTTGGCACTTCAGAAATCAATATTTTATATAAAAGTTCTAGGAAATGTTGTTTGTAAAAATTTTCTTTAGACATCCAATAGAAGAATCTTTGTATTCTGTGACAATTTTACGCCAAACTTTTTTGAGAGGTTTAAAGAAAACCTCATCTTGAAGTTGACAATTTTTATTTTATTTTCTAGACATGCGTCACTTTTAGAGATTAGAGAGAATAATTTATGGCCTAACCACAATTTTAGTAACTCTAAACGGGAAGTTTTTTAATTTTAATTTTTGTATATTGAATATTTCTTTGTTTTTCTTTCATGATACGAATATTTAGAAACGTTGAGGGAGAATGGGGAAAAGTGGGACACGTGAATTTTTAGGGTAATTGCAATATCTTTTCTATAAAAAACTCCTACGACTCTCCGCGCTTTAATTGTAATGCATTACTCGAATAAATTATATTCCTTTATCTTCCCAAACCTTTTTTTTTAATGATGTTGAACTTATTGTAAAGCAAAATATTAAAAATTATGAATTATGTCTGAGATCTGAAAACATTCAAAGTCCATGATATAAAATATTTACAACAAGATACTAAGTTTTGGTTTTTAAACTCTACTGACTCTCTGACAAAGACATCACACCCTGAAAATTTGGGGTCTTTTTACCAACAAAACATCCCATTAAAGCTCTTTTAACCAATGATTCTAGATGTCAATACAAGCAAATATTGATAAAAATTAAAAAAAAATTAAAAAATAAAAATTAATTGTTGAAGCAAATCTTGATAAATATTATAGCTATATTTAATTGTTGGCCTTTAAAATATTGCTTAGTATATTTTCATTTTATTTGCAAAAATTTGGTTCTTTGAAAACTTATTTTTTATTTTTTTATTATGAAAATCTAAAAATTTTTCCCTAAAATTTTAAATTCTTTTTATTCTATTTCCTAATTAGGAATTCTTTATCGCGATAATAAACTGTTAAATATAGTTTGGAATATTTTTTCGTTTGTTTATTTTTCATTTTTGCTTAGTATTCAATTATTACTGAAAAAAAATTTTAGAGTTTATTATCTTTATTTAAAAAATAAATATATACATATATCTTTCTTTCACAAGATTTGATGGCTATATTATTTACGGATTATTCGGGGCTTGGCGATAAAACTATTTTATCTTCTTCTTGCCCCCGCCATGTGTATATTTTACAAATACGAGACTTGTAATTATTTTAAACGGCAAATTTATAATAATAAAAAAGTTCAATTCTAGTATTATAAGAAAATGTTCAACTCTAGTATTGTAAGAAAAAAGATATTGCTATTGATTCCAAATTGTTGCATTGCCAGATCCCTAGTTAAGAGCGCGCGCATTTACAAACAAAAAGCCGGGCGGAAGTGAAACTCTCAAAATGCATACGTTTGCCAAAGACCACAATGAGTGCAAGAAGTCTGTCTGCTTCATTTGCATGAAAAAAGCAGACCGTGAATTGACAGACTCTTTTAAACAGAAGATAACATAATTTTTTCCATTAACTTTAACGATAACAAAGTTCCAAACGGAATTTGTTTAACTTGTCGTTTCAAGATTAACAAAGCCAGTGACAAAAATTGACCTCTCAATCTTCCTTCTTTTTACAACTTTGATTCGATTCAAGTTAAAACTTTGACAAGACAAACAAGTGCTTGTGATTGCTTGATTTGTCGAATTGCAAAAACCAAAGGTAAAGAAATGCATCAATTGATGAAACAAAATCAAAACGAAGCTCAAAATCACACGAATCCTTCAGTAGAAAAGAGGTGTACAATTTGCTTATCCGTAGCTACACGTGGACTACCTTATCATTGTACTCAAGGAACTCGAAATTTGAACTTAAGAACATTAGCAATGGAAGATCCCAATAGGCCAGAGCAGATAACATCATCAGTAACTTCATCAAAAGATCTTTCACCAGGTGAAGGTGATATGGTCTCAATTCAACAAAATTAATGGTCTCAATTCAATAAAGTTACTCATTGTCATGACCTTTATCTACTGAAGCAGGTTGTTGGTAACTTCAGGCGTCTTAATCAGGACATGATTCTCAAACTTGGAATAGATGGAGGTGGCTCATTTTTGAAAGTGAGTCTGAGTCTTCTTGACATAAAACTCGATGAATCTGAATCCTAAAAGCTCCATTCGAAATTCTGTAAAGCTGTGTTTACAAGAGGGTCTCAAAAGCACAGGTGTTAAAAAGCAGCTAATAGTAGCAGTGGAAAAAAATACAGCAGAGACAAATGAAAACGTCAAATCAATTATTGGCCTCCTCCAAGTTGGAAATGCTTGCTCCTTAAGTTAGATATTTTTTCTTATGACTTAAAACTCCCGAATATTATGTGTGGGATCCAGCACACAGCAGCCATCATCCATGCTGCAGGTGTGAAATTGAGGCAACAAATCTTTATGAGTGCGGTGAGCTCAGAACTCTTGAAAAAATCAAAAACCAGCATTCAAACTTCATGAAGCCTGGAGAATGCCAAATTTTTCAAAATATATTGTCCATCTCCCAATGCTTCTATTTGATGATCACGTGAGTATTTTGGAAGTGATTCAACCAATGGAGTATTGGTGTGGTAAATCACATTGTCAAAAATCTGGCTCAGAAATGGCCAAGAGCAGTTAAAGGGGTCAACTCAATCCACATTCCACTGTTACCCTACCATGGAGGCCATTACAATAGCAATGATTGCATGAAGCTTAATCAAAAAGAAGAAAATGGCACAGTTAATCAAAAAGAAGAAAATGGCCCTCGGACTCTTCAGCGAACAAGCTACTGAGACATTCCACTTCTATTTCAAAGCACATTGGGAGATATACAAATGAGAAGCTTCCCATTCTGATTACTAAAAACAGCTTTTAAGTTGTATTGTTGATTACAACAGCAAAAAAGTTTAAAATATTTGAGTTTGAAAAATGTTGCAGTGATGCTTGAAAAAATTATGAACAGTTTTGAATTGAAAATCTTGCTAGAAATAAAATAGAATCCATTATTTTTGTATGGAAATTATTATCTAAATTTCTAATTCACCACCTTTGTATTGTTGAAATCATACTTTGCATATTTGTTTTAAAAGAGGATTGTCGCAGTCTGCTTCAACTAACATTATATGCGCTTCAGCTGCTGTTGTCTTTCGGTGGAAGTAATGTATAAGAATTTCTCGCAAAAGCTTTTTTGTAAGCACGAACTCAACCATGTTTAAAATTTTAGATAAAATTCTCTTAACATTCAGCCATTAATACTTGAAATGTTTACAAATTAAATTTTAAAATAGTTTGCAGATGTTTGCAGCCTAGGATTTCAAGTAAAGTTTATTTCAGTCAGATCGGATATGTACCTACCAAATTATGCCTCAATACAAAACCCTCATTTTCAATGCATACTACCAATATTTAAATTTATACTTTAAATCATTCAGCGATGCAAAAATCATTTTAAAATCTTATTTTACTAACACTGTAAAATTACGCAATATTGAAATTGGCCTTCTCAAATATATATATATATATATATATATATATATATATATATATATATATATATATATATATATATATATATATATATATATATATATATATATATATATATATATATATATATATATATATATATATAAAGAGAGAGAGAGAGAGAGAGAGAGAGAGAGAGAGATGTGCGTTATATTTTTATGCATTGCACATAGTGTACAGGTATGCTAAAATTGATAAAACGCATAGATAATTCATTCTAAGCAAGTTAATTTACTAAGCTAACTATATTGAAAGCATTATTTTTACTGTCGTATTATTGTTTAGATTTTTACTGCTGCATTTTTGTTTTGTTTTTTGAGAACATTAGACACTTTTTATGTTAAACAAATTTAAAGTCATGTAAATACAATTTTATTTTCATTATACTTTTTTACTATTTATGGATAGTTTAATATAATGAATAAAAAAAAATAACAATAATGATATCTAAATTGTTATTCATTTGGTTTTTTTAGTGTCGTTATTAATAAAACTATTTTTGAATACATAATAATCGTAAAATCGATTGAGTTAAAAAAAAAATAGATTGTTATTTTAAAACTAAAATACTTACAGTTTTTTTTTCAACTTTAACATAAAAAGAATATCCTGGAGATACTATTTGTCCTTGCATTTTTACTGGTTCCTCATCCTGTCCATGAATCATTAAATGAATCCCACCAGCCATTTCATCTCGATAATATTCATAATGTTGGACATTAATTGTCAGTTTTAAGCTTCTTAACACCCCAACTCCACTTACCTTTAATAATGAATGAGAATTTTTTCCAGAGTTAAATGTAAAACAAAGTTCGCCCTGCATAGTCCAGAAATCTGTAAAGTTTTCATGAGTGCATTTTTTGCCTTCAAACTCACAATCAACTAACATTTGATCTAATCGAATTGTGGCATCAGAAGTAATGTTGCTAATTTCTATTTCTGAGACATTGTTTTTTTCAGGATCATCAGGGTACAAAATTGATTCATCAAGTTTGGTGCCATTTAGTTTGCTAAACAAAAAATCATTCAAATTACAGAATGATACAGCCGGAAAATTTAATTCATTGACATAAATTTTCATGCGAGCGGTTTTGAATGGATAAGAAAAGTAATTAACAGTACTTTCATAAACTTTTTCAACAGCATAGATAAACGCACCAACCGTAATTAAAAACCATATAGCTCTTCGAAAATAATTGTTTCTTTTGTCGGCGACGTAAGAAAGACCATGGAAAGAAACATTTTTAATTAAATGCGCAACATGCTCCTTTACTCTATCATTTCGTTGCTCATGAGGACTTTTAATCTTTTTCTCATCTTCTTCTTAAAAAAAAACGGTAAAAATAATGAACTTAAAAATACTAAACTACCATTTCGTTTAACTATGGAATACTTTACTGAAATTATTTAAATACTTGTATAAAAACAAAAAAGCAAATAAAATATTTATTCAAAAAATATTACCAAAATTATTAATAAATAAAGTCTAATATAATTTAAAAATAAAAGCATAATTACTTTAAAAATGGGCATTAACAAAGTAAAATGTAAATTGTTAAAAGTATAAATGCATATCATCAGCAAGGTTTAAAAAGCGTGAGGCGTATTGAGGCGGTTTCCCTATATATGAGACGAGGCGTAAGACTCAATGCGCTTGAGGCGAACGCCTCAATTTGTTTGAGAAAAACTACTGTTGTTACGACTATTGAAAAGTTTGACTGTCGACTAAATCAACTAATATATTTTCTAAAGTCATCAAAGTCGACTAACACATATTTGAAACCGACTAAATGGACTAAAAGTCGATTTAGTCAAATAATATGAATAAAATATGTGAAATAATTGCAATTTAAATTTTTAATGAAGATTAATCAAGTAGTTCAGGGCTGGGTACCACAATTTTAGGACTGGGGCTGTAAATATATGGGGTTTTCTTAAAAATTATCCATCGTAATACAATCAAGTTTACACTTTAATTATCGCAGAATCCTATTCAACTCGGAACGGCCTTGTATGCATTTTGTACGGTTGTACGAACGGCCCTGTATGCATATATTTTTGAAAATCAAATGCAAAAACCAAAAAAAAAAAAAAAAGCAAACACATTGCCGAAAATTTTTATTAAGTTAAAACGTTTCCTCCTATCCACTGAAGCCTATCCGCTTTCTTCGGTGCCCAAAATTTCTTTCGACAGACCTATTACATACCTCATAACATAATGTTATGAGGCATACAGCAGGTCTGTCGAGAGAGTTTTTGGGCACTGAAGAAAGCGGATGGGCTTACTCATGGTGGATCCTCGTTATATGATGGGTCATATAATCAGGACCACAAGAGGCGGAACATTACAATTAAATCTTACAGCTTCACATGAGCTAAGATATTGAAAAAAGAAAATGTTGAAGTAGTAATTTTTATAAAAAAGGATAGAAAAAGTATGTAAGATGAAAACAATATTATTAGTACAAACACGGGTACCAGTAGTTGATCCCTGTCCTCCACCTCCTCTTCTTAGGCCTAATTATTTGACAGTTTATTTTTTTAGATGTTATGGTACAATCGGAACCGTTAACTTATGAGAAAATTAGCTCTAGTTACCAGACATTGTCATCAAAAAGGCATAAATGAAATTACTTTCTGTAAATCACAATTTGCTAAAAGTTATATAAAGTTACCGTAAGTTACTCTCAAGATACCACAGAAACCGGTAACAAGCAACTTTTTTTTTAAACTACTGAAATAGTCAAAACCCCTAATATAACTTCAAGAGAATAAACATAAACTCATTGCTAGTTTAAGGGGAAAGGGGAGCATTGTCTTAATCTGGCAATAAAAAAACTAGGAAAAAAAAGAAAGAAAAACTAGAAAAAAAAGCTTATACAGAAATTTACTTCCTCTAAATCTTAAATTTAATAACAAACAAATTGTAAATAAATCCTTAGTCGCTGAAACACTTAACCAGTTTTTTGTAAATATAGGTCCTACTTTATCATCTAATATAGCAACTACTCAATCACACTTTAGTTCGTACTTAACCTCAACCAACCTTAATGTTATGTCTAATTATAAACTTACAGAAAAAGAACTACTAGACGCAGTCTCTTTATTAAAACCCAATAAAAATTTAGGATTTGATGATATAAGTAGTAATGTCATTATCAAATCAATAAAACAAATTACAATTCCATTACTACATATTTTTAATTTATCTCTAAAACAAGGCGTTTTTCCAGATAACCTAAAAATTGCAAAAGTAATTCCAGTGTTAAAATCAGGTGATCCTTCCGATGTTACGAATTATAGACCAATCTCAATTCTTTCTTGTTTTTCTAAAATATTAGAGCGGGTTATGTATAATAGACTATATTCCTTTTTAAATGTTAATAATATTCTTTATCATAAACAGTTTGGATTTAAATCTGGTCATTCAACTGATCATGCAATCACTCACCTTGTTCATGATATATTTAAAGGGTTTGATGAAGACAAGTATACCCTAGGTGTATTTATCGATTTAAGTAAAGCTTTTGACACTGTCAATCATCAAATCCTTCTATCCAAACTGAAAAGTTATGGTATAATAAATACTAATTTGTCCTAGTTTGATAGTTACTTGACTAATAGAAAGCAGTTTATTTCATATGATAGCGGAAAAACGGAATATAAGTCAATCACCTGTGGTGTTCCTCAAGGATCAATTTTAGGACCACTTTTATTTCTCGTTTATATTAATGACTTATATAAATTTTCTAACATTTTAAACTTAATTTTGTTTGCAGATGATACAAACTTGTTTTATTCTAGTAAAGATATCAGTAAATTATTTCAAACAGTAAACAAAGAACTTGAAAAATTAACCCAATGGTTCAAATCAAACAAACTATCTTTGAACATCAATAAATCCAAATACACTTTGTTCCATCGTCTTCATAAAAAACAAGATATTCCATTAAAACTTCCTGATCTTTTTATTGATAACGCATTATTAAAAAGAGAGCAATCAATAAAGTTTTTAGGTGTGGTTCTGGATGAAAATTTAACCTGGAGGGACCACATAGGTCTAATTGAAAATAAAATATCAAAAAATATAGGTGTTTTGTATAAAGCCAAGCAGTTTTTAAATCTATCTTGTTTAAAAAACTTATATTTTTCTTTAATTCATTGCTACTTAAATTATGCAAACGTTGCTTGGTGCAGCACAAACGCAACAAAAGTAAAAAAACTGTTTAGTAAACAAAAACAGGCTATAAGGATAATTACAAACGTAGACCGTTTCTCTCACACTAAAACATTATTTAATAAACTTAATATTCTAAATGTATATAAACTAAACCTTTACCATATTCTTATCTTCATGTTTAAACTTGATAAAAAAATATCACCAATGTTATTTAATTCACTTTTTGAAAAAATAAACCACATATACCCTACCAGATTTTCAAAAAACAATTACATTCAATCCAAAACACATTATTCAGCAACCAAATTCTCAATTGCAAATCGAGGTCCTAAGCTGTGGAATACAATATTAAATAATGAGCTGAAATCTAATTATTCTTTAAACCAGTTTAAAACAAAACTTAAGCAATTACTGATGATACATGAAAATGAATTAAAGTTCTTCTAAAAAGCTTTTTAAACTAGCAAACAAAAACAAAAATTAACCCACTAATTACTCTTTAATATTATATTTAATATTCTAAACAATAGTCTGCTATTGTAAATGTATTTCTTATCTTATAAGTTTTGAATTTACAAAAGATTTTTTAAGTTTTATTATTTGAAATACTAATTACTAAAAATATTGTAAAATTTTATAATTTCAATTTTTATTAAAAAAAGTTATTGTAAATTCTTTTTGTAATATTAATACTTATATATCATCTTATTTTACTAATCAGTTCTTAAATATAAATACTCTTTGAATTACTAAATATTTTAAACGTTATATATTTTATTTTTTACATTTTGTTAAAATATTTTATTGGATGAATATGCATTTTTTTGGGGGGGCTTAATGATAAGATGAATTTTGTCTTCTTCAAGCCCCAGTCATGTAAATATTTGTTTTTATAAATTACGAGTGTAAATTATTTTCAATCGGCAAATACAATACTAAAAAAAAAAAAAAAAAAAAAAAAAAAAAAAAAAAATATATATATTATTGTTATTAAATTAACCACTAAAATTAAAGATTTAATTAAATAAAATAATTTTATTAAATATATGTATTACCCGACTAAATTGACCTTTAGTCAATTAGTAGAAAGTCCAAAGTCCATTAAATTGACTATTAGATTTTTTAAAGTCGACTATTTTCGACTTTCGATCAGTCAACTTTTAGTCGATTACAACACTAAGAAAAACGCATTTTTTTTTTAAGGAAAAGATTTAAAAAAATGAAAATAACATTAAAGTAAAATCATTCTTTTATTAGAAGTTCCAAAAAAAAATCATTAGAAAATCCAAACTTTTACAGATTCGAAATAAATATGGCCTAATCTCATAAATCTTAACCCATCAATCATCGCTATTGTCACTAGAACTAGTGCTACTATTAGGATCCTCGAGAGAATTGTCCATGAAATTCAATTTAGCCTCTTCTTCTTCGCTTTCCTTCATGGCATGTGGAAAATCCTCCTCATCGTCATCATTTGGATTTTTCCTATACCTAAAGGAAACTTATATGTTTGAGTTCAAGTAGAACCAAAAAAATAAAAACAATTATTCAAATATAATATCAAGTAATATCTTATACCTTTTGTTTTTCTTCTTTCTCTTCTTTGTATGTTGAAATAATTCACCTTCTTTGACTTCAAAAGAGTCATCAAGAGCTATATTTGCATCAAGATTTTCATAGACCTCTACCTCAGGATTTTGGAGCTCTGAGATCCATTCATTGCCAGAGTCTACATCATCCAAACAAAGGGGATCTTTAATTGTTTTCTTCTTTAACTCCCTGTGTTTTAGTTTCAAATTGAACATAATGTAAACTAAATCATTGAGTTTCGCTTGCTTCAAGCGATTTCTTCTCTTTGTATTCACCTGTTCATTAAAATACTAAAGCTCAGTAAGATGAAAATCGAAAAACATATAAAACCAAAATACTTTATACTATTACTTGATTTAAGGAGCTCCAATTCCGTTCACATCCAGAAGCACTACAAGTCAAGCTCAAGATTCAAATTGCAAATTTTGCAAGTTTAGGCGTTTGATCTCCAAAAGCTCTTCACCGATCCGCTGAAAATAGGAATGTTATTTTATTAAATTAATAGAAAAAAAAATCGTTGAGGTATGATCCCATATCGGGTCCATCCTCTGGTTTATCAAAAAAATAAAATAAAAGATATTATTACGAACATACTAAAAATAGTAAAAACACACACCTGGACTTCTCTTCTTCCTCGTGCTTACTGCATTTACCCGTCCAAATAAACCTCGTGCATATCAAAAAGAATTGATCTGCAAATCTACTTTCTCTCTTTCTCCTGAATCACCAATCAATCGCTCCGTGCAAGGATAAAGTCCCAATTTAATCTCATGATGAGAAGAGAATGAAGGTTCATATTGGAAATAAGGATTTAGAAAATATGCAGCAGCGTGCAAATGCGTGTAAAGCTGACGATCCCACCGACTGCCCACAACATCCCAAACAATCTGATACTTTGTAACATCATTATTTAGATTAGACATTATTAGAACAATTTTTTCTTTAGCCCTATCCATAGCTACGTAAATAAATCCCATTGGTGGATACTTCTCGGAATCCACCATTTTAAGAACTATAACTAAGGACTTTGTTGTGTTGAGCACTAAGTAACACCAGGCTAATAACTGTCTTTTTAGAATTGTTGCGCACAATTTCCCCCAATGATCAAGATGCATAAGCACTTTTACACTTTCTTGAAGTAAAAAAGGATTCAAGTCCATCCCTTGCTCCAAACAAGCTTTGCAAAGTAAGAAATGCAGTGGCAAATCGATTAACAGCAGGTTTCACCAAATCTCCACCGGTAAATTTTCTTACCATTGATAGCACCCATTGATATATAAAATTTATTATTTTCTTGGCCTTGGTGAACACAGAAGTATGGAAAAGGTAACTTGAAAATGTCCTCTAACATTAAGTCAATGCAGTGTGTAGCACAAGGCGTACAATACAAATTTTTCTTTTTCTCCACCAACATTGGCCCCGCTGCTTTATAAGCCGAGGCATTGTCTGTTTTCACTCGGATAATATTCTTTTCTCCAACTTCCTCAACAACTTCATCAATTAATTTAAAAAGCAATTTTGCACCTTTTACTTGATCAGATGCATCAATAGACTTTAAAAAGTAAGTACCTTTCGGGTTATTAACTAAAAAATTTATCAATGTACGCCCATTTGTGTTAGTCCAACCGTCAGATACAATACTACAACCGGTTTCAATCCATGAAGGTGGATTGCTTCATTGACAATGGAAGAAATAGCATTTTTCTCTTCTTTTAGAATCCATGTTTGCAACTCATACATAGTTGGGGGTTTAAATCCCCTTCCAAATCCACATACATCCTTCATCATGGCCCAATATGAAGGGCTTGTTGCTACATTGAATTCTCATAGAAGAGCCGTCCAATAGAATTGCAAATCCTTACTCTTTCGTTTTTCTTCCAACTCTCATTCAAGGTAACTTGGTGCGTTTGATAAACTGTGAAATATTCAGCACTCTCGCTACCAATATTTGCGTATTGTATAAAAAAAATCAATGGGTCCATGAACTTGTTTTTTGAACTAGACAGCACTTCATCCATTTCTTCGAATGCTGTTCTTTTACCCTCGGTCTTTTTCAACATAAACGACTTCATTTCTTCTTGAACCTCAATGGAAACTCGTGGACAACCTGCAACATTCTTATGAGTCTTTGCAATGTGCTGCTTTAGCCTTTTAATTCCGCCAGTGATCCTCTTCTTACAAAAGTTGCATTCAATATATTTATAAGTTTTGCTATCCTGCGACCTGATTGGAGAAAGTTCAACACAATACTTCCAGCCAGGATCAGTCCTCCCATTTATTTTTGATGACTTTGCCATACCTTTAAAGCTGTAAATTTATAAAATAGTAAAAAAAAAAAAAATAAAGATCAGTCATAGCGAGCCGCAATTGATTATACAATTCCATGTAATGAATTTAATGATTAGTTAATACATTTATACGGGCATATGAGTATAAGATATAATTTAATTATACAATTTCAGAATATATAAGATATATATATATATCTATAAATTTTATTAAATCCACCAATATTATTCTAATACATTCATGTTCTTAATAAAAGTAAAAATACGCCGATTAAACTATATTTTGTTCGTAATAATATATGTATATAACAAAATATTATCAAAGACTAAAAACGAACTCTATAAATTAAAATATTTTTTAAAGTCTTATTTTAGCTTTCAATTAATCGATTTTTATAATGCGTTCCATATAAACGTACATATTCAAATCGAATATAATTAAGTTGTCTGTTTCGTAATTACTAACTCTAAACGCATTCCTAGAACTAAAAAAATTGCTTAAAAACGTTTGCAAACTGAAATTTTAAAAAGTGCTGTTGGAGCAAGACTAAAAGCTAGAGTGGATGGTCGAAGCGGAGCTCAACACAATACGATGAGCTACGAGCAGCCCAGAAGCGAAGCTCAATGCAGCGCAGAAAACCATAGGATGGCGCAGAAAACCGGACGGAGGGTTTCTCGCAGTGGAGAGTTTCAGGGGCCAGAATTGGACAGTAATGCCCTTATTAGGGAAAGTAAAGTTCACGTGCGACATACGCGGCCTTTTTAGGTTTATTGTAAAGAAGGCAACGCCTCAGGAAAATTCAGCGCTTAAGCGCCTCAGCGCCTCATCGGACCAATAAAGGCAAACGTTTTATTATTTGAATGAGGCTTACGCCTTAGTGCGAAAATTCAACGCTTCGCACTGAGGCGTACGCCTTACCGCCTTGAGGCGTAGTTTTTTTAAACCATGATCATCAGTAGATTAAGAAAAAAAACTTTCTTGAATAATGAGTAATTTTTATTCTTGATAAAATATTTTAAAACAATTTATAATAAATGTTATATTTTTTATTTAGTATTTTTTTTAAAGGAATATAAGTTATGGAAAAATAAACTTAAGACAAATTTACGTTTTACACTTGTTCAAGAAAAAAAGAATGTTAAAAAGAAAAAACAAATGTTAAAAAGAAAAAAAGAATGCTAAAAAGAAAGTTTTAATGTTTTTTATTCATTATATAAATGAAAAGCTTAAACTTACTTTTTAAAAATGGTTTTAACTTATTTTTTTTATTATCATTCTTTCTTTATTTCAATACTTTGTTATTTTGTTTGTTGAAATTTATAATAATTTAAGAGAAACACATAAAATAAAAGTTTTCATCAACAAAGAAAATTGTTTGAATTTTTAATTCTTTTATATTTGATTACTGCAAAAAAAGAGGCATCTAATTAATGGCTAACCTATTTTTGGAAAGTGAATAGAAGTTTTTCTAAGGACCAAATTAAACATATCACAACCTTTTTTTGCAACTTAGTGTTTATTTTTTATCAACTTTTTTTTCCTTGCTTTTATGGCAATTTATTCATCATCATAGAATATGTGTTCAAAGGAGAAATTATAAATGTCCATATAAATCAAAAATATTTACTTGCAAAAGTTGAAGGGTGTAACTTCAAGATGATGCAACCTTTATGTTAAAGCATTTGCGGGGAAAAAGTTGTTTTTTAACTAAAAATTATTAGTTTACAATAAAAACAATTGCAATACAATTTTTTGTTGTTTTATGTTTTTATTTAAAGCAGAATCAACATAAAAATCTTTTTAGAAATTAAAATTTGAGAAGAAATTTTTTTATCTATTATAAAAGTAGAGTTTTTTTTTTTTTTGATTTTCATTTAAAAGTAGAGGAAAAAAAAAAACATTCATATACTCAGATTTTCTTCAAGTTTTAACAAGTGAAACCTGTTAATAAAACATGAAACATGTAGATTAAACCAGTTTTAACCAGTGGTACCTATTAATGAAACACGAAGGATATGATTGATGTGTTTAGTCATGTGAAGAAATCATTTTCGTATAGACTGTTACTTGTTTTTAGCACAAGAAATAGACCTGCCATCAATTATTTACGAAAAACATTGTTATGCTTTTTATAGTTGGCGTGTGAAGATATTGAATAGTGCCCAGGACCAAATTATACACCATTTACGATAAAAATTGTTCTGCTTTTTACGGTTGGCGTGTGAAGATATTGAATTGGACATAATGGACCTAATTATACACCATTTACTGATTTAGAGTTGGATTACATTTATTTTTTTTATATTTTTTGAAACGACTATTATTTAATTTTTAGATTAGAATCGAATTATTAAATGTCGAGATTATAATAGGTAATACTTTTGCCGGATTTACAAAAAGTATTTTATATTCTTATTTTATACAAAATCTTTAATTGAAGGGTTTAATAAGTTCCTTGTCAAAAAAACGCTTAAAAACGTAACTAACCTATAGCTAAACGAGAAATTAAAATATAAGAAATTAAAATATAAGATTCAACCAAAAGCAAAGACTGTCTAAAAGTTTGCAATATATATATTTACTATCAAGGTATCCAAAAAACGATTACTTTACCTAAATGGTGATTTTGTTGTGATAATATCTTGATAGCTCAAACAGTTTTTTAAAACTAATTCAGTAAATTTTTAAAAGAGTAATCCAGCTTTCAAAGCTTACAAACTATGTTTTCAAATTTTATTTTTTTACCCGCTGGAATACTATACAGACTGTACCGCAGTATAAAACCATTTTTGGCTTCGTTCTCTCTCCAAATAGTCTAGTATACCATTTTTGGCTTCGTTCTCTCTCTAAATAGTCTAGTATACCATTTTTGGCTTCGTTCTCTCTCCAAATAGTCTAGTATACCATTTTTTGGTTCGTTCTCTCTCCAAATAGTCTAGTGTACCATTTTTTGGTTCGTTCTCTCTCCAAATAGTCTAGTATACCTCTTCGGAATTAAAATAACAAGATTTTTTTAACATAAATCTCTAAAAAAAGATTTTTTTTGAATTTATTATTTATGAGAATATTTGTCACTGAAGCCGAAGCCTCTTTAATCAGAGGGTTGACTAAATTTTACTTAGCTCTCTCGAACCTCCAAAAGACAAACCAAAAAAGCCAAACAGATGAAAAGTTAATAATTTCAATGTTGGAATGAGCTGCATTAAAGTTGTCTAGCTAAAAATAAATTTCCCGCGTCTTCTGATAAAAAAACAACAACTTGCATTTATGTCAAAAGGACTTTCAAACTGGGTAATGCTTTACATATTTTTGCTTCGTACAAACGATCTGAAATTTTCAGGACATTATGCTATTTACATAATGCGATTACTTTTGTATTGCAAGTTTTTTTTTTAAAATAATTAGAACAAAACTTATTTTTATTAATTTTAATTAAAAGTTTATCAATTTTTAACACAGGAAATTAATTATTTTACAAAAAGTTAAAAAGTCGTAACCCTGGTATACATATATTTCATATATATTAGTATATACTACAAAAACGTATGCTCAATGTTCTTAAAGACAGAGCAGTAATAAATATTTTTATTTTAAGGTGTGTTGAACCATCACACCACATCCTCCTGCAAGATACATATCGCAAGTCTTATACTTTTTTGTGGTCTGGAATAAAAGTTTGATAACTTTTTGTATGAAAAAAAATACAAGTTTAGAAAAAAAAGCACTATTTTATGAAAAATACATAGATTTGTTTTTTTGCATTAAAGGTTCAGCAACCCATCTATGTTTCATGGTAGGCTGTGTGTTGTGAAGCCAATTTAAACATTCGTAGCCGAGTGTTACACCTTTCCTTTAATACCAAGTTATATGTATTTAAATAAATATAGCCATAGTGCAGTGGTAAGAGTTCTGGCTCAGAACAGTCATTCGACGCTGGCTCTAAGCCTAAAGAGTGACTAAGGTTAGGAAGGAGGCGTGAACTCAGGGCCGACCACAACGGTGGGGGGAGGACACAGGAGGCTCGTGCCCTCCTTCCCCTCCCCCCCCCCTCACACACACTTTTTTTCTAAAGGACTTTTAAAATATCGGCTTTGCCGCAGTGTTCCGTAAGGACTTCTGGGAGCAACTTAACAACCACAAAAAATAAATATATAAGAACTGACAAAAGTATATCAATTTAGATAAATAAAAATTAAGTTTTGACCATTTTGTTCTTTCAACATCCATCGAAGTTTTGAAAACCTCATAAGAGTTAAGAGAAAGAGAAAGTTGCTTTGAGATTTCGTATAAAAGCGTTTGTTCCATAGAAATAAGTTTTTTGTCTGAGTTTATTTTTTTGAAGAAAAATGTTAAATTATTAAGATTGCTTTCGCTAAATAAAAATTAGTGAAAAGGAGAATTTTCTAATGGTTTGTTGTATCTAAAGAATGAGGTTTAATTAATCACTTTTTTTTTTTTTTTTTTTTAAGGCGGGGTCAACCAAATGCTTACGTTTGATTTTAGTGTTAATAAGGAGGAGGATCTAGAAATGAAATCGACTACATAATATGTAGCCGATATTTTAGCTTATTCGAAATGTTAAAAACATATTCAAAACACAATTTGTGAAATAGAATGCTTTTTATAATTTTATTATTAATATATAAATTATTATAAAAGAAACGCTTTTTATAACAGACACTTATATTTTTATAATAATAACGATTTTACTTTTAATGAATACGTAATTTTATTTTTTTGGAAAGTTGTTATTCGCAAACTTTTGTAGCGTTTATGTAAAGTTTAAAAGTTTTTTAACTGAGATAAAATTATCCGAATTATTTAATTACTACTTTTTTTCTTTAAATTTATTGTTATAATGTTTCACGGTTTCATCACCTTAACCGTGAGGTCGGTTTCACGATCTCACGGTTAAGGTGATGCTTATCATGATTCACTTAGATATTTGGGCACCCGAATTTGTTTTCTTAAAAGAGGTTTTA